CCCTGCCCGCCAACTCAACCCACCCGCAGCTCCTCCCAGGCCCAAACCCCTCAAAGCCCAATCCCCTTTCCCCCACACAGCCCCCAACGGCCCAAAAACTCCCTTACCCAACCCACAAACACTGCGGCCCAACAACCCAACCCGGCCCCAATTACCCACCCCATGAAAACTCGCTCTAAAGCTGGTGTCTTTTGTCCCAAACAGATTCTCAACCTTAACACCTCCGTCCCTATTTCCCCGTTACCCCCAACCTATCGTAGTGCACTAAATGATCCAAACTGGCATGCTGCTATGTGTGATGAATATAATGCCTTGATAAAGAATGACACATGGAATTAGTACCATCCTCCCCCTCACAAAACCTCATCACCGGTAAATGGCTTTTTAGACACAAATTTGGCCCTTCAGGTGAGTTATCCAGGTATAAGGCCCATTGGGTGGTTTGTGGTTTCAAAAACTTTTTGGTGTTGACTATGACGAGACTTTCAGCCCCGTTATCAAGCCTGCCACTGTCTGGGTGGTCCTCAGCCCTGCTCTGTCTCGGGGTTGGCCCATTCATCAACTTGATGTCAAAAATGCGTTCCTTCATATATGGTCAATTCCAGGAGATCGTTTATGCCAGTCAGCCCTCTGGCTTCCAGGATCCCACCTGACGTCACTATGTTTGCAAACTCAAGAAGGCTCTATACGGTCTCAAGCAAGCACCACGCTCATGGTATCACAAGTTGGCAGGGTTCATACAGATATTAGGTGTCGAGGATGTAAGGCCGACACATCTCTCTTTGTTTTCTCTCATTCCATGGGCACAACCTACCTACTGCTATATGTTGATGACATAGTACTCACGGCATCCTCCCCAGCACTTCTATAGAGTCATTCTGCAGCTAAAGGCTGAATTTGCCATGACAGACATGGGTGATCTACACTTTTTTCTCAGGATCAACGTTCATCGTACAGCTACTGACCTATTCCTCCACCAGACCCAGTTCACCCATGACATACTTGAGAGGGCAGGGATGGTTTCTTGCCACCCCATCTCTACCCCGATGGATACAAATGCAAAGCTTTCTATTATAGCTGGCACGACACTCTCTGACCCTTCTCTTTACAGGTCCATAGTTGGCGCTCTGCAGTACCTCACCTTCACTCATCCTGACATCACATATGCAGTTCAACAGCTCTGCCTACATCTTCATGCCCCACGCGATGCTCATCTCACAGCCATGAAGCGTGTCCTTCTTTATCTTCGTGGCACTGCCACCCATGGTGTTTATTTGACACTATCCACCACCGACTACTTACAGGCTTATTCTGATGCTGATTGGGCTGGCTGCCCTGACACGAGACGTTTCACATCGGGTTACTGAGTGTTTCTTGGCGACACTCTAGTTTCCTGGTCGTCTAAGCGCCATGCCACCACTTCTTGCTTCAGCGCCGAGGCTAAATATCGGGCCGTAGCAAATGCTGTTGCAGAGACCAGTTGGATCCGAAATCTTCTTCTTGAGCTCTAACAACCACTCCGTCGTGCCACCCTTGTTTTCTATGACAATGTCAGTGTTGTTTATCTCTCGTCCAATCCAGTGCAACATCAGCGCACCAAGCACGTTGAGGTTGATATCCACTTTGTGCGCGACAAAGTGGCGCTCGGCCATATCAAAGTCTTTCATGTTCCTTCATCCTCTCAGTTTGCTGATATCTTCACAAAAATAAAGGGTTGCCCTCACTCTTAATTCTTGACTTCAGAGAAAGCCTGGGCATCCGACCCCACCACATCCGACGTAGCCGAGAGCATGTTAAATATATATAAAATATATTTGATATTATTATATTATTATTGTTACCATACTTGTATAGGTTTCCTATTATGTCTCTCCTACCTTAATTAGGATTGAGACTCTTAGTATATATACATGTACACTTCACACAATTAAATCAAGGAAAATAATTCTTCTTCAGTGGATGTCCCTGTCACTGAATATCAGGTTGTTCTCCAAGCCCTCCGAGGACTCCCGAACGATCTCGGGAAATAGGTTTCCTTCCTTCAATTCCAAAAATCGCCGCCAACGTTCATGGAAACAAGACCGGCTCTCCTTCTGTTGGAAAACCAGCATCGGCCCCTCGTCCCCACTGGTGACGGCGGCACGACTCTTGCAGCGATCAACCTCGGTGGAGGAACAGGCGGCACAAAGGTCCATGGCGGTGCTAGAGGTCAGTAGCACAGGCAGCCCAATAGCGGCGGAAAGCTCCAGGGTAGTGGCGGCGGACGAGGACAAGCGGGAGGCGGTCGTGGTGGTCGACCGGCGCGCGAACGTAGTCGCGGTCGAAATGGTGGCGGCAATTTTCGGCAACCCACTAGGAAAACAGCATCCTGGCAGACCCCTTATCCCTACCCAAGCCAAGGCCTACTGGGCCCATGGCCCAATCCCTTTCCCTACCCAGCCCAAGCCCTTTTAACCCAGCCCAACACCAAACCTTTCTATCCACAATACCAAGCCCAATACCTGTATGCCCAAACCCCACCCCCTTACCCAATCTACCCGACCCACTCCCCTCAAAGCCCTTACCCGCCAGCCCCTCAACCACCAAACCCCACGGCTCTGGCCCAGCAATTTGATACAATGACCCTCCGTGAACCCACTTGGCTCATGGACACTGGTGCCTCTCACCATATTGCCTCATATCCAAGTACTATTTCTCATGTTTATTCTTCTCCTTTAAATTCACCATCGCTCATCACTGTAGGTAATGGATCAAAAGTTCATGCTACGGCTATTGGTAAACACACTTTTCGCACTTCCCCACCCCTATCCCTCAATAATGTCCCAGTCTCCCCTCATATCATTCATAATCTTATTTCTGTTCGCCAGTTTACCCATGATAATAATTGCACCATTGAATTTGACTCTCGTGGCTTTTTTGTGAAGGATCTATCCCCTGCGCCCTCACACTCGAGTCGTGTAGGTCCACGCTGCCTCTGTTGACACACAAACGTGGCATCGTCGTCGTGGTCATCCCAGTCCGGCTGTTCTTCATGGAGTCCCTTTCTTGTCTTCTCTTATTAATCACAATAAACTTTTTGAGGACAATTTATGTCATGGTTGTCAGTTAGGCAAACATGTTTGCCTTCCTTTTACTTCTTCTGTTAGAACATCAAGTTTTCCCTTTCAATTAATGCACACTGATCTGTGGCAATCTCCTGTTCCCAGCATTATTGGTTTTAAATTTCACATGCTTCTTTTGGAGGATTTTTCCTTTACGCCACAAGTCTGATGCTTTCTCACAACTGACAACTTTTCTAGCTTATGTGCATATTCAATTTAATACCACTATTAAGGCGTTTAATGTGACAACGGAACAAAATATCGCAACACTCTTCTTCAAAATGTTTTTAATTTGCTAGGTATTCTCTTCCGTTTTTCCTGCCCTCACACAAGCTAACAAAAAGGACGCGCAGAGCGTATGATCCGAACCATAAACAACACCATTCAAACTTTGCTTTTCCAGGCCCAATTACCCCTTGAGTATTGGGTTAAGCTCTCCACATGGCATGCCATCTCTTTAACCTCCTGCCCACTACAACTCTTCAAAACCGAACCCCTCACGAAGTACTGTTCCAGACACCACCCTCCTACTCTCACTTACGTGTCTTTGGTTGTCTTTGCTATCCTAACACCTCGGCCACCGCTCCTCAAAAACTATCCCCCAGCTCCTCCCGGTATGTCATTCTTGGCTATCCATCCAATTAACACGGGTTTCGATGCCTATATTTAGACACTCACAAAATCATTATTTCTCGTCATGTTGTCTTCGATGAAACCATTTTTCATTTTCCTCATGACACAACATCCTCTGATCTGCAATTTCAAATATTTTGCATTTTGAAGCGAACACGACATCTCATGGCTAATTGAAGATCGATATCTATTCGGAACTACCCAACTACCACCGCGCCACCGTACAACTATTTAATTATAAACTTTCTAATTTTGACTTTCTTTGATCAAACAGTGTCTCTTTGACCATATATTAAACATAATCTAAGTATATACTGCCTCCGTACCTATTAAAAAAAATTTCCAGTTTTGACTTTTGGGAGGGGAAGATGTAGAAGTTTGAGCAAGGCAGAACGACGAAAATTGAAACAAGTTGGGCTCGAGAAATATCATGTTTTTTCTAGTTTCTTCCAGTTCCTTCATGTTTTTCTAGTTTCTTCTAGTTCTTCCAGTTCCTTCTTGTTTCTTCCAACTATTCTCATTTTCTTCAAACTCTTTCTACTCTCCAACTAATTACTCTAAAACTGATATATTTTAATTTTGATTATTTTATTTTTATTATTATTAGAACTATCATGTTTATAACTATAGTTTACGGAGTATAAGTCAATTGTATTTTTTCATCTCACTATTTTTACGATTCACACTCGATCATTATTATTTTTTCTTCAACTTCTTAATATGAATAATGCAAATTTTTTGTATACTAATCTACATGATAAAATAGTAAAACATCATAATTTTAAACTATTTTAAAAAATTCTGGATAAAATAGTTACATATAAAAATATATAGAGGGAAAACGAAAACAATCAGCAAAACAATGTCAGGAAATGAAAAAGGAGCGGAAAAAAAAGACCATGCACCTTTCCCTTTTTTACTCATTGTTTTCTCATTTTTATTTATTTCAAAAAAAACTATTTTTTTTCATTTATCAAATTTTTATAAAAAAAATTGAAATTCAAAATAGTTTAGAGAAAAAGACTAAAGTAGGAGTAAAAAAACATAAAAAATGTACAAAAATAAGAGTTTTATATCTTTATTCCAAAAATAGGAGTTACAATGAAAATAAAATGTCAATCATGAATGAAAAATAGGTTTGATTACATTAGTGGTATCATATTTAAAACAAAATCTTGTAATATATAAAGTACAATTACAAATATATTATTCCATAATACATACTGCATAAATAAATTAATGTACAACGTAACTAGAATAACTTTTGAAAGTTTGTTATTTTTTTGATATTTATGCTAACTTTGTATTCTAATTATTTTTTCCAAAAGTAATTTTTATATGAAAAATAACAATACTTTTTTTCTTAAAAACATTCATTAAGATAAAGTTATAATAATAATAATAGTAATAATAATTTATAATAACAAGAGTTAGAATGATAATAATATAAAAATAAACTAAAATAGATTTTTTTAAAATTGTTTTTAGTTTTTCAAATTTTTCTAGTTTTTCCATTTTAATCTAATTTTTTCAAGTTCCTTCCAGTTTCTTCTAGTTTTTCTAGTATTTTTAAGTTTCTTCCAACATCCAGCTCTTTTTTTCCAGTTCTAAAGAACATGCTTTAAAAAATGATTATAAAATTTACAACATTTCTCCCTCTTGCATGACTCTCAAATAGACCTGGCAAAAAATGACTCGACCTGTTTTTGACCCAAAACCCAATCTGAAAACACTGGGTTTTGAACAAAAGTTTTGATGACCGAACCTAAAACGACCCGCTAAAAATGGGTCAAACCCGACCAAACCCGAACCCGACCTGACCAACTCGCTCAAGTAATCGTTTTTCAAAATCATACACTTACTACTCGTATTTAGTGTATATATTTATATTTTCAGACAAATTTTTAATGATATTACATAATTATCTTAAATTTTCTAAAACGTAAGCATTTTTAAATTCCTTATATTGATTTATATGTCTAAAACTTTTTTCAGGATTTAAAATAGAATAATCTAATAGATTTAAGACATATTTTTGATATTTTAAAATTATTAATAGAAAATCTAAGTGTTAATGTGAATTTAAAAATATATAAAACCAAAGTCATAACCCGTTGAGTCGACCCGAACCCGATGACACTGGGTCGTGAACATACAGTTCTTAACCCGAACCTGAAATAACCCGAACTCGAAGTGACCAAACCCGAACCCAACCTGACCGACCGATTTGCCAGCTCTGCTCTCAAATACTAAATTTTATCCTTCTTAATAAACACCTTAAAATAAGTTAATGCAGAGTAGATTTTTAAAAGAAATATTTGCATTACATAACACTAAAACTTAAATCATTTTCCTAAATACCACTTAAATGTTTTATTCCCTAAATATCACTTAATAATGTCGAGAAGGAGGAATAATGTCCAGTGATGGCGAAATTTACTTCAATAATGACTAATGGAGTACTTTCAACAAAAGAGGGGACACAACAACCTAATTAGATTCTACGAAAGTAGGGTTTGGAGAGAGTGTGTATGCTCTGACCTTGTCCCGACTTGAAAATAGAGATGGAAGATATTTTTAAGAGACCCTAGCTCAAGCTGCACAGATAAAAAAATTACAAGAGATACATAAAGTAGAGAAAATATAAATAATGCATCAAGCACAATGAGACAAGGAACAAACTAAAGTTAGCGAATGAAAATTATTGCGATCCAACTGGACGGATATTCCATAAAACACTTTTATATGATATTCAAGAGAAAAATAAATCATGCAGGCAAAACACGTACAAATTAGTCCATAAAAGTTTTTTTGAGTGCTATTAACTCGATTACATTATAGTATATGTTCCTCATCTTTGTTGGGACTCGAACGTGAGTATGATTCTTATGAACCTTAAGGAGTAAGTTCTCTATCACTCAAGCAAACTAGAAGCTCGATCACTCTACAAAATACGGAGTATTAATCTATGTGGTTTTATTATTGTAAGAATGATTGTACACCACTTAATTGGTATACACGAGTACTTTGCACTTACACATTGTGACACAGTGTGCATAAAATGTCATTGTGATTTGTGATTGCTAAAATTTCACACTGATATTTTTTTGACACTATGTGCTATCAATGTGTTAATGCAAAATAATGGTGTACCCCAAGTAATGTGCATGTACTTAGCAAATTTATTTTTTTAAAATACTTCCTCCTTCCTGAGATAGATTATAATCTTTTTTTCTTTGTCTTCTCGATAGTATTTGATAAAATAAAATATTATCGCCACCTCTCATTTCGAAGAACTTTTGATGTAATTTTTTAATATGTAATTTTTATTTCGTATTGATATACCAATTTTTAAAGAAAAAAATAGATTATAATTTTTTTGTCTTCTCGATATTATTTGACAAAATAAAATATTCTCATTACCTCTCATTTTGTAGAATTTCTGATCTAGTTTTTTATTATGTATTTTTTATTTCGTATTGATATACCAATTTTTAAAGCAAAATAATTTCAAAAGACAAGAGGTTTTGACTCATAAATTTGTAATCAAATTAAAGGGTGAGAGAATAAAAATTACACCATAATTATTTATTGTGGCAATGGTGAAGGTGGAGAGAGCGAGTCTCGCGGTCACCAAGTTTAAAAATTTGTAGATCTTTAAATCCCCATCTATTCACCGCATGATTTCTTCATCTTTCCCTTCCAACCATTCTTCCAACTCAGCATTAAATTTATTCTCTAAACAAACACAAAACAAAGCATCACAAATTCATTTTCTCACCACGTGTCATTCTCCCCGCGCCCCAGGATCACGTCTCTCTACTGTGACAAAAAGATTTTTTTTTTCTTTTTTTCTGAAAAAAAAAGTAAGAAAAAGGAAAAGTAGACTATACCCATACCCTACCTCCGTCGAACGGGAAACCGAAATCGTGATTCATCATCAAAATCTCGACGGCGGGCGACGGCGGAATGAGCAGCGGCCGCCGGAGACCGATGGATCGGATTCCAGGGTGAGTTATGTTTGTGCAAATTATATGGAGCCTTTATGCGAGTATTGCGGAGTGGTGAGGGCAGTTGTGTATTGTAGATCGGACTCGGCCAGGCTGTGCTTGCAGTGCGACGGGCGCGTGCACTCCGCCAACGCCCTGGCGCGTCGGCACCAGCGCTCCCTGATCTGCGACCGGTGCAATTCCCAGCCGGCGACGATGAGATGCACCGACGACGACGTCTGCATGTGCCAGTCCTGTGACTGGGCCGCTTGCTCCTCCAACCTTTCCCACCGCTGCAAGCTTTTGTTTCCCTACGCCGGCGTCCCTTCCCCCGCCGACTTCACCTCCATGTGGTCCGCCGTTCTCGACGCCGACGTCGTTCCCATTCCGCCGGAGCATCCCCTCCCCCCTCCTCATTCTACTCATAATAATAATGAGCCATACATTAATAATAATAGTAATAACTGGGCTTCCTGCCCTGCCGCCGCCGCCGCCGCAGACCCAAATAATAATAATAATCAGAATAATAACAATCATAGTAACCAGGGATTTGTGGCTAGTCGGCTCAATGAATTGGCGTCTTGCCTAAAGTTCGATCCGTCGTCGTGGGTCAATTCTTCTCAGCCGTCCGGTAGCAGAGATCAAACGCCCTTTTCAGCCGGCGCAGCGGCAGGGGAAACCAGCTGCCGACTCATGAACAAGGTCAGCTTCTTCTTCATTGAAAGTGATTGGTTAAATTTATACTGCTCCATATCGATTAAGGAATCCTATTATCTTTTATCTTTTGCTATAATTTTTGTGACTCATGTCTCTAAGAAGTCGACATGTGTTCAAATGACATGACACATGAATAAATTACATGGCATGCTTTAAATGCTCATTCATCATTTATAGAAAATTATTATTGATAATCTTTAAAATATTATGAGTTTAAAACAATATATTTTATATTGAAAATTGAAGGACTTCTGAATTTAGTGAAAATTATGTAAATGAAATAAATGTTATAATTTTTCAACAAAAGTTAAATAAATTATTCATCAAAAGAAACTAATCTTGATTAGCCCGGGTCTTTTTTCATAAAAACAACAATAATATTAAAAGTTTTTTTTAGTAAAATATAGTATTTTTATAAATTATTAATTTATTATTTTGTATGAAAAATTATTGAGCTAAAATATACTCTAGAGCAGCTCATCTTATACCACCTAATTAAAGATGAGAAATCTATTAAAGAAATTTAGTGGATTATGGATTTATGTATATTAGATAATTTTTAATATGACAAACTTTTTGGTTTAATGTATTCAATAACTTTTTAATAATTAAAATTTCCTTAAATATATAATAAGGATTATAAAAAATCTATCAAGATTTAAATTTTGTTTTACACACACACACACACAAATATATATCAAGATTTAAATTTTGTTTAATTACTTTTTTTAAAAAGCTCTTTTAATATATTTGTGTAAAACTTTTTCATTTTTTAACAATTTTATAAACATAATTTAACCATTGTAAAATATACTCCGTATTATATATATATATAGGATTATTTTTATACTATTCACTATTTATTTTAGTTTATTACCTTCTCAAAAATGATTATATAACTTTAATCACATATGTATATTTATGAATTAAATACTTTGCTTCAAAATTTTTATCCTTTTACATTATTTATTTTATTACTACATATATTTTTTAACAAAGTAAATAGAAAAAAATTGCTTTAATTGAAGGGTGACAAGTTACATTATGCCACATCTCTTATGATCTGTCATTATTTAAATAGTCTATTTCTTTATTATAATATTTTATTAATTAAAACCATTTTCATTAGTACTTTATTCAATGAGCATTGATTTTCTATAAAAAAAATATTTGTTTTAAATTAACATACCAATATATATTCCATCACTTCAAAACATATTTTATCACTATTAGAAAACTAAAATAAAAAACTTTAAGTTTATAGATTTTCAAAATTTTAGAATGTATGTGACCCGTGGGAAGCATGGGGCTAACATTTGTTTATTTGTATATGTTGGTGGGGTTTAGGGCTGTGACAATGAAAATAAAATGTCAATCATGAACGAAAATAGGTTTGATTACATTATGTGACATGCCTGATATTTAAAACAAAATCTTGTAATATATAAAGTATAATTACGAATATATTATTCTATAATAAATACTGCATAAATAAATTAAGGTGCAACGTAACCACAATAACTTTTAAAAGTTTATTATTTTGATATTTATGCTAACTTTGTATTCTAATTATTTTTTTCCAAAAGTGAATTTTTTGAATGAAAAATAACAATACTTTTTTATCTTAAATGCTTTCATTAAGATAAGGTGATAATAATAATCATAGTAATAATAATTTATAAATTTATACTACTCCGTATTGATTAAGGAATTTATTCGTATATGTTGGTGGGGTTTAGGGTTGTGACAATGATGTAGAGCTCTGTGAAGGAGCGGTGGATACTGCAGATAAAGACGCGTCGTTGAGTTTCAGTGGGTACGACGAGATGTTTGCGGCTGCCGCCGCCGCCGGCCAATGTCATCGAGGATTTAACGGCGACGATGAAGGCCTGGCCGCTTGTCTTCACACCGCCGCATCGAGGGACAATACCTTCTCCGGGACAGAGTCTAGCAGTCATCTTGTACGTATATAGTACCTTTAGCTAGTTCTCTGATGATATATACTGATTACTGATCACTCTTTAATTAATAATTAATCACATTTAGTGTGGCTGGCGTGCTAGACTGGTTTATTTTGTTGCAGACTTCGTCATCGGGACAACAAGAGCGCATGGGGGGCTGTTTAGAGTCGATTAATAATAATATGTTACCCAACATGAATAGCTCTATGATGATGATGATGATGATGATGAGCCCTAAAATGGTGGGATTCCCATTAACGACGACGACGGCGACCGGACAAGTTGGTTCACTCTCCAACATCACCGGAGACAGCGACATCGCGGAGCATCATCATCATCAAGACTGTGGCCTCTCGCCGGCTCTTCAGCTTGTGAATGGAGAAACAATATGGGAGTCCGGTTTTGATGTCACCTGCTGCAGTCCACATGCAAGAGACAAAGCCAAGATGAGATACAAGGAGAAAAAGAAAAACAGAACGTTAGTACCTCCAAACTCCATCTTTTTTCTCTACGCTTACTTCATGGTAGAATATAAAGACATACAACCATAAGTTTGAGTTTTGGTTGACTAAAAAGTCGTACGTTTAAATTTCACTGTCAACTCAAACAAAAATTAATCTAGCATGCACGTGAAGGAGCGTATTAGAGTATAAAATCTATCATGAGTCTATAACCACACGCTTAAGCATTTGGTTGAGTTACTTCACACTTTTCCATACACCTTTTTCTTAAATTATTCTTTTGGAATTATCTCATTAAAACATTTTTCTCCTATTTTTGTTAAATAAAGGGGACAATTATAAAATCAGGTTTCATCAAATTTACCATTAACTATTCACCGATATGATTCGTTATAAAACATACTCCGTATATGACAATCTATGAAAATATATGAGTAAAACTTTTGTTTTCATGCACCCAACTTCAGTCTCCTAATAATGGGGTCATCATATCAGCTTTGAGAAGTTGGAGCTTTGGTTGAGTTGGCATTGAAGTCTTGATAATTAAGAAGTCACGCGTTTAAACTTCACTGCCAGCCCAAACAAAAATAAATCTAACATGCATGTGAAGGAGCGTGTTAGAGTATAAAATCTATCATCAGCCTAGAACCAGAAGCTTTAGCTGTTGGTTGAGTTGTTTCTTGATACTTCTTCATACACCTTTTTCTTAAATTCTTATTTTGGAAATTTCTTAAAACATTTCTCTCTCCTTTTTCTTAAATAAAGGTGAAAATTTGACAATCAAATTTCTTCAAATTCACCATTAACTATTCATCGATATGATTTGTTATAAAACACACTCCGTATATGACAATTTATGTAAATATAGGAGTAAAATTTTGGTTTTCATGCACCCAACTTCAGTCTCCTAATAATGGGGTCATCATAGTAGCTTTGAGAAGTTGACTTTCATCAACATATATATAATTAACAATAATTATTTGCATTTCCACATTGAGTAGGTTCGAGAAGCAAATACGATATGTGTCACGGAAAGCAAGAGCTGATACTAGAAAGCGTGTGAAAGGAAGATTTGTTAAAGCTGGGGAAGAGTATGATTACGACCCGCTCAAAACTAAGGATATGGATATGGTGCCTGATTGACATACATATATATAAGGTACATGTCATATATTCTTCTTGTAATTATCTTTTTTCTTTCCTACTATTTACTCCCTCCGTCCCAAAAAGATTTACACGTTTCAAAAAAATTGCGTCCCATAATCCCTTACCCATTTCTATTAAAAAACCACTTTTACTCCCTACTTTTTCAAACCTTATCTATCACATCATACCTTTTTCCTAATAATCTACACATCACATCCTACTTTTACCCATCACATCAAGGGTATTTTTGGAAAGTCAACACAAAATTATCCCTCCCTTAATTTCAACTTTAGTCAAAATGGGTAACACTTTATGGGACGGAGGAAGTATTAGATTGTTTCTAAATTTTCTTCCTTCTTTCTTTTTAGAAAACAAATATGTGGTCTATATTAATTCTCTTTTCTTTACACAAACTACAACTCTCCATATTCCACTTTATTAAAAATCATATCGAGTCAAACGCAAAAGATAATTCAGGGACCGAGTGAACACTAAATAAGGTGCTGCAAAAAGATTCATTTTGTTAGCTAGTAATTAATGTGGATCGAACTTGATCCACTCGAAGTGCATACCACCTAACCTGTCTCATGAACTATGTATCCTACAAAATCTTAGTGGCATATTAATACATATGTTAGACAATACTCCTAGGATTTGTATTTATAGCAGTATTAATATTTTAGTCAGCTTCTATAATAGGTAGAATCCTAATTATTTTAGAATCTTTTTCTATATATAGACTCTTGTACACACTATTATTCCTTGAATAAATCATTATTTCATTATTCTAACATGGTATCAAAGCCTAATCCTTCCCCTTCAACTCCTTGTTAATATCGATCGGAAAGGGAAAATAATCGACTAGGGTTAGTTCTTGATCCCGCCGATTGCCGCACCAACCTACATCGATCACGGACTCTCTCTCCCTGATCGCAACTATCTACGGCACATTCTTCAACTAATCATATGGATCGTCTTCCTACAGGTCTCGATTTTTCTCTCTAGAACCTTCAATCTCTTACACATGTCAATGTTGATGACACAAACTATCCCTTATGGGGCCAGCAACACTACGGGCCAATCTCATGGCTCATCATCTCTTAGGTTTTGTTGATGGCACAAAACTTGCCCCCCACCCTTGCTTCTCAATGAAAAACTTGCAGCACCAGGCAAAGATGGTCCTCCAGTCACGAATGCCAATCCAGCACATGAGAGCACATGAGATCTGGATGATTATTGATGCTCAAATTCGGGCATGTCACTTGGCTATAGTTTTTCCTATGATTCAGACCCATATTCATACTCTTCCATCGGCTACCGCGATCTGGAGTCACCTTGAATAGAGGTATAAATCATTGTCTCACACACATATTTATTTTTTAGTTGAAAGAACTGCTCCATAACCTTCAAAAGTCTATGCAGACCTATCTTGATGGAGTCCTTACTATTGTCGCATCTCTCAAATTGCCGCATGTGAATCTTTCTGAACAGGATATTATTTTGTGTGTTTTGCATGGTCTCCCTGTTGATTATGCCCTCTTGAAATAAAATATTCAGACCAATATTGGAAACATCACGTTTAATCAAGGTTCTGCTTGGTTACTCTCAGAAGAACTAAACGTTACACTTGGCAAAAAGTTACAGATTGATGAATCTGCCCCTTCTCCCTCTTCAGATGTTCACAATGCACTTTTTACTAATTCTGGACGTGGTAATTATCATGAATGTGGGAGAGGTGGTTACCATTGCAGGGGAGGTCCACCTCACGGTGGAGGCTACAACGGAAGAGGAGGCCATCCACCGTAGCATGATGCCTGTGACAGCAGTGGCAAAACAAAAAATTGCTGCCAGGTACCCCTTATTTTGGGATAAAGACTGGCATGTCCCATTGTTTTTCAAAATATACTCCGAGGTACCTTAAGATATTTGAAAACTGACTCTGGGGTGACAATCCGTCATACTCTCCGTTAACATTTCTTCTCCGTTATCCTCCTCCTCCTCCTCTTCTCAAAAAATTGCTGCCAGGTACCCCTTATTTTGGGATAAAGACTGGCAGGTCTCATTCTTTTCTTCTTTTCTTCTTCTTCTTCTTTTCTTCTTTTCTTCTTCTTTCTCCTGCCTTCCAGAGTTCGAGTGACCTCCATTCCTCCCCCACCCCTGTTTTTTTCTTCTTTTACCTTTTTTTTTGTTTTTTTCTTCTTCTATTATAATTATTATTATTTGTTAATAATTATTATAATTAATTACTTCATAATTATTATTTTCTTATTCTATTATTATTATTAATTTTTTGATTTATTATTATTACTATTATTATTAAAAATTAATTGTTAGTTTTACCTCTCTTTTCTATAAAAACACTAATTGTTATTTAGAAAAATAGCACTTATTATAAAATAACACTTATTATTAATACTATTATTTATTTTAAGCAATTAATTAGTAATTTTACTTCTATACTTTTTTAAAAAATACCACTAGTTATTATTATTACTTCATATTAATTACTCCTCTGTTCTAGAGTATTTGTCTACTTTTGTTTTTTTGGTCAAAATTGATAATATTATGTATTTCCTATTATTTCCTTAATTATTATTAAAAGTTAATTGCAGAGTAGTAATTTTATTACTCTATTTTTAAGAAATACGGAGTAACAATCATTATTATTTAGAAAAATAGTACTCCGCATTAGTCATTGATAGTCGTCATTGGTAATGGTGTCATGGTAAATCGAGAAAACAAGAGGACTTGAGAAAAGAATAAGATGAAACAATAAAAATAGTGTTAAATTTAATAT